CAGCCATCTGAGGACTTACTGAAATATAGTCGGCAGTGTCGTAACCAGAAACCTCCCACTCAGACCTGCAGAACAAAAGAACAGAGGACGGATATATTGATGCAGAAATGCAGATAGAAGAGCGAGCACATCCTATACCGGCCAAAAAAATCCTTTCGGCATGGGAAGGCGGTGAATGGTCTATAGCAGCGCTGTAATAAGAGTAAAGCATGACGGCTTTCTGACAGTAACAGGCGTTTTCTCGCCGCCAGCTGAGACTTCCACAGAAACGTACGGGAGAGACGCCATTCAAGCCCCGCTGCAGGTGGAAGCACAAAACAACAGACTCCATTCACACCTGCATCATTAGCCGCTTAAATGCAATCTTTGCTTGCATTTGAAATGCAATTAGTGTTCAAAGAGAATCGTCTAAACGGCTCTGGATATAATGGTATTAATAATAAAGGCTTTCATCTGCTTGTGATGTCACTCAGTGATGGCACACATCAAATATAGCTGATAATAACTGCAGGAGGAATTCAAATTAGTCATCTGTTAAAAGCACAACTCAAGTTTGGCTGCTTTAAAGTCCCACTGTAGTTCATTTGAGCCACGTGACTAAACTTAAAGGGACAGTGTGAGCAAACAATCCAGCAGTGTTCAATGTAAATGCCAGACGCACTGCTGTTGATCAGACCGGACGCAAATAAGGCCTTCACATTGATGATAGTATCATACGCATATAATTCTTTTCAACGGCTCTGAATGTGGCTCAACCTGTTTTATAATATCTTCAGACTTGCAACTGTTGCATCATGTCAAGATGTTTTTGCACTGACATCAGACTAATTGTAACCAAGTTCCAAAAAAAATAAAAATACACATACATTTTATATATATATATATATATATATATATATATACACACACATACACATACATGCATACATACAGGAAATACAATAAGTAATTGTAGTATTAGTAGTAATAATAACAATACATTTTAGTAATACAATTTTTGTATTATATTTTAATTATATTGTATTAATTATGTGTGTGTGTATGTACAGTGGGTACGGAAAGTATTCAGACCCCCTTACATTGCCCACTGATATGCCCAGACTTTCACTTTGTCTTCCAAGATTTTCCCAGTCTGTTTGTAAATGTTGGCAGGCCGGACACCACGGAGCATAACTGATAAAAACACATGAAACAGAGCGATTCATTTACATGCATACATAATATTATTTAATCGCTGCATATCGGATGTAAATGTGGGTGTAACCCTGATGATGTGAACATGTCCACTGTAGGCCACTATTTACACAATAACATCCACAATATTTGTGCATATAGACCTGTATAGCATAGCATGCCGATTTGAAACGATTTGCGTGCATTTATATAAACTATTGCAGCAAAAGAAGAGAGATTTATAATCACTTCCGGTGAGAACTCGGCACACCCGTCGCTGCACAACATGCATTATTGTTATTATTTAGACACACTGTTACAGTATAAATTGTTACACTGTTGCAGCGCACGGCAGATCAAAGCATCCTCGAATCCCAGCGCTATTAATCTGATCATTCACGCCTGAATCCTGCAGCTTATGGATCAGATCAGATCAGATCACACACACACCGTACTCACAATTTGATCATCCACTCGCCGTGCAGGATGAGCGTCCAGTTCGCGTCGGCCACCGTCAGCACATTACTGGCGTCCGTCTGAGCGACTACACGAGCCGCGAGCATCAGGAGCACAGCAGAGATCCAGCAGGACCTTCTGCCATATTTCAGCATGTCAGCGCGTGTCAGTCCCGCCATATTGCTGCTGCTGCAGGAGCACATGATTCAACACAAGCAGGAAATACAGCAGCGGCGGCGCTTAAAGCTGAACTCGACAGATGTGAATAAAGCACCTCTGCAGAAACACACACACACCTGAAATACTGCACACATTATACTGGTACCGTGATCTTTAATATTTTTACAATACATAAAAAGGTAAATGTGTGTATACATATATATATTTGTGTGTATGTGTGTATATATGTGTGTGTGTATGTGTCAAATCAAATCAAATCAAATCTCTTTATTGTCACACATCGTGTACACAAATGTAACGATGGTGAAATTCTTGGGTACAAGACTCTGTTCCATGGCAGTACAAGTACAACAAAAATTAACAGTATACATAAAAATTCTTAATTAAATATAGGTGAATCCTTAAAGCTATAAAAGTTATTTATTCCTCTTTTTTCTTTGTCCTTTGATTAATAGACATCACAGCAGCTGTTTATTAGGTTGCTTTGGCTGTTATTTCTTTAAGAGCTGCCGCTGCTGAACGTGACGTGGATCTGACACGCATCATATTTTCTCACAAATCTTTTTATTTAAGGCAGCTTTAATCGCATTTTTGGTAACTTCATGACTTAAGTGCACACGGCATTGCATGCATGTAGTTTATTTCGCGCTTTGATATGAAAGGATGCAGGCTACAAATGCGCCGGCGCCTTTGTGCGTGCGATTGAAGAGCACGCACTGCCAGCACAGTACCATTTCTGCGCTCGCTTGACTCGCGCCTGGCGCTGGTTCAGCGATTGAATAAATGCACTTCTTGTGAAGAGAAAAAGTGACAGAAGCAGCAGTTGTGGGGGTGGCCAACCCTAGCCCCGCCCCTGCGTTAATTGCGTTAAAGGGGTCATATGATGCTGCTAAAAAGAACATTATTTTGTGATTTCAAAAATATTAAAAATATATTATATATATATTGATATTACATATTACATACAACTGTGTGTGTCTATTTTATATAATATATTGCTGATTATGTGCCTACAGTATTTTCAAAAAAACAATAGTCTCTTGAAGAAACGGTCTATTTCAGGGTTTGTTATCTAATCTGTCCCACACACTATGAATTTAATTGTGGATTTTATGAAGTTACGTTATTTCCCGTATACGTGAGCTCTGTTCAGGAACAGTCTTGCATAACACATCACAGTATAACTCACAAAAACCTGCCTGCTTCATAAATAATAAATAACAAAAATGCTCAAATGAGGTTTTGTCCTAATCAAAGATAATTTGAGTATTTTTGCTGCAGTTCTGTTAAATCACACCAGATCACACTTTGACGCTTATAGATCAATACATAACAGCCAATTTAATCTTCATGTACTTTCAAGCTGACTATAACACAATAATAATAATAATAATAATAATAATAATAGAATTAAAAATTGCTGTTTTTCTTTATAGGTTTCCCAGTAGTGGAACTGAAACAAAACGTGTGAATGTGGCTTATATGAATATAAACATTGATCATATTGTATCTGCCAATATTAGCATATTATATTATAGGCCTAATTATCATCACTGGTCTGAATTAATATTAATGCAGCCTAATTGAAAGATTAATTAATTGAACATAAATTACATTTCATTTTCTAGAAACTAATCAGGCATGCTCTATCGTTTTGCATTAGATAAATAAGCTTATAGATTAGTTTGTAAGAGATGAAAGATGAGCAGTTAATATATGAGACGCATGATTGCATTCAGGGCTGAACTGTATAGGATTTAGATTCCCAGATGTGGGAGAGGAAAAAGAAGACTCCCAAAAGAGGTGCCAGGGCTGTCTTTGTCAGTCAATATTAGTGCATTAGTGTTTTAATTATCACCATCCGCCTGAATTGGTCAATATGGAAGTAGATTATATCAGGGTTTATTTTGTCCAGTTTGTTCAGTGTGCTTCTTTCTGTGCCGGTTACACAGTTTCAGCTTTCCTTCTGTATACTTTAATGTTTTGATGGCTGTTTGTGCATCAAGCATGAATCATATTCTAGATTTGAGCTGTATTATGATCACATTAAAAAATAAATTTATAATGTTGTCAATAACAAATCATTATCTGTTGTTGCTCTAAATTTCATAATGAGAATGATATGGTCAGTGTAATTTAATGAAACAAATACTACCATGATGTATAAATACTTAAATTAAAAGTTAATTAAATGTTTGTTTTTTTTATGTCACAATGCACACACACAAAAAAAAAAACTGAATGCTAATAAATAGGCTTTAAAATAGGGTTGTTTCATTCTTTATATATGCATTCATAAAATGCATATTCTTTTAAATTCCTTCTGCATAATATCATTGTGCATTTAAACTTTCATTTGTAATTTAAGTCACATTTTAGTCACATTACAATAGGTTACTAAAAGAGAAAAGGCGCTTAATTGTCGTGAAAAAATATTTCACAATGCAAAAAATCTTAATGACAATAAAAATATTTTTTTTCTTTGTGTATTTATAAAATATTTATTCTTTTTATTTCTGACTGCAGCATACTGTGTTATTGTGCATTTAAACTTTGATTTATTTGTCATTTGATTGATCTTAATTAGCTTACATTATAATAGGTTACTAAAAGGGAAAAGTGCTTAATTGTTATGAAAAATTTTCACAATGCAAAAAATCTTAATGGTAAAAATATAAATATACTTAAAATAAACGTAAACAATTTTGTACATTTTTTTTAATAGCATTTAATTTCCCACTGCAACATATTTGAGCATTTAAACTTTGATTTATTTGTAAGTATTGTAATAGATGAAATTATGCTGATTTCTATAGCTGGCAAAAATCCCCGCTAGTGTCCTGCCTGCATTCTGTTTGCAGAGGTGTTATGAAATGTTTCATTGTGCCGGTTCCTCCAGCAGGGGAGGGATGCGATGCGCACTAGGAGGCGCTGGATCTCAGTGCGCACATGTGCGGAGGACACACTCTCTCTCTCTCTCTCTCTCTCTCTCTCTCTCTCTCTCTCTCTCTCTCCAT